ATTGACTTGCACATAGCTTGTGCTTTTCAAAAAACATCATGTGCAGCTGTATCAGTGCATCCTTATGCTATACCATGCAAGGTTTTGACAAGGAATGAAGCTTGTATTCTCTGAAGAGAATTCCCAGGCGACTCGTTTACTTAAATGATCATGATTCAGATTATGAGAAAATTTAAAACATTTTTCCCACAGATTTTAATTCGTGGCACATATGCAGATCAGATTTACAATATTGCTTTCATATGAATTAAAAGTATGGACATTTCTTTACATTTCCACATAATTTAAGATGAAGCCAGCTGAATTCCAAAGGTAATTGGCTGTGAACGCAATCAGTCTTACAGGAGAAAGTTCTACGTAACTGCTGTTTCTAGACTGTTTTGGGGTTTTTTAGGAAACTTGTATAAAAAGACAGATTCGATTCAAAGTAAAGAAAGAGGCTTGGTTTTGTTCTTGGAAGATAGTGCTTATATGTTCACAGCTGTAGAACACGTCTCCCCTGACATATGTCTTTGGAATTGCCTTCGTAAATCAAATCGGTGGAGAAGATATGAAAGATGCCACATCAAAATTATATCTCTATTTACGGAACACTATTAAGAAATACAACCCTCAGTCCCTTGGTCACTCTCTACCCACCTCAGTTCCTTGATTGTCATTCCAGAGAACAAACAGAAGAGTTTATTTAGTTGTTACCACTGTGCAGAGAGTAGTATTAAATAATTTAATCAGTGTGGTATATGTTTCTGGATTGTCACCAGCATAATTTCACAATGCAAGACTTTCCAGAGCCTGGTGAAATGTACTTCTGGGACACTATCAACCTTCCATACTCACACCTGTTGTCTGTCACAAGTTTGTCACACTACAGAGGAGTTTATCTAGAGGCTTTATATTGTTCAGCTTTTTGGATGGAACTGATGGATTGATTGATTTCAGTTTTCAGAAAAAAAGTGAATGCCTTTTCTCTCACCCATCAGGCGATTGATTCTGCACACTGTCACGTGTAGTGTTCTTCGAGATACTAGTGTCCTTGTGCAAAGACAACCAGAAATACTGCAAGTGTGTGTTCAGTGGGCCAAGAGGTGCTTCAGGAACCTCCGGATGTTGAGCAAAAACAAATACAAAATCCTTCATCCAGGAGGGAACACAGCTGCATCACTGCAGGTCAAGGACTGACTGATTTGGAAGCACCTCTGCAAAATGGACCTGGGTTTCTGGGTTCCGCAGTGTGCTGGTGTAGTGATAAAGGCTAATCACATTGTGGGCTACATGGAGGACAAGTGCTCATTTTCTTCTGCCAGGACTTGTGGGTATGAATCTGGAGCATGATGTCCAGTTTCAAGCCTGCAGTATAAGAGATATAAACCAGCAAGAATCCAGCAAAGTGTTACTAAGACAGTCAAGACAATGGGCCAGTAATGCCCAGACTTGTTACCTGCAAGCAGTTGCACAACAAAAACAGACATGACTTTCTGCCTGACCCTGGACCCGCTGAGACCTCCTTGCTGGGAAGGGAACGTAGTGCTGGAGCGGGAGTGGGCTAGCATGGGAGATTATCATCTCATCTCTTCCCATCTCATCTCACTGGTTCTTAAATATTCAGATCCACCAGGTTTTGTTATTTGCTCTGTTTCACCTGTTGAACACCTCTGCTATACACCTACCAACATTCTTGATTTGTAGTTTCATCCTCCTGAGCAGACCAAGAGCGGCCTGTGTCCAAATATCCTCTGGCCTGAGGTTTAAGTGCAAGCTTTACCTATAATAGCACCTTCTGTAACTGGCCAAAGAGTATTATTTCTTTACTCTTGTACATAAGGAAAATAATTTATCCAGAATCACTAATGCTAAAAAGGCGCACAAGACAAACTACATCACAGATTAAAGCGTCAATCACCTTGCAGCGATGCTGGCAATTATTACCACATATCCTCCTGATAATGGCTCCAGCTATTCTCTTCAGCAGCAATACTCATCCTACCATAGAAACTGATACCGATACCCACCAGGTTATAAGAGGCAGCATACTCCCTGCCTATAAGCCTTTGAAAAACGTGTTGATTTTCTCATAGGCTTTTGTAAATCTGCATCTGCTTGCTGCCGTACCCGAGTAGGGAGTAAAATCAGTTACTTGAAGCAATTTTGGCCAAGGGTGTAGGGATGCTGCCTGGGCAGCGTCAGTGGCCGATGTGGATCAGCAGTGCCATCCAGTGGGACACACAGCGACCCACAGCTCCCTTCTGGATCTGCGGGGAGGAAGAGGGTCCCCACGGCCGTCTCCACGACCACCCAGGGCCGTTCCTTTAGAAGAACCTGCGAGACACCCGGCCAGTTACAGGGAGGCTGTCGGTGTGCAGCCTCCGTCCTCCAGAGCATGGCAGGTACCCTCACGTACTGCTTCAGAGCTGGTGGCAGGCATTTTTGATTTTCTAAGTTTCAAAGACTTGAAAATCAGCATCCCCACAGACACCTTCACTGGGAAGAGCTGCTCAGGGGAAGCCTTAGTAAAACAGTTTTCTTACAAATCACATGTATTATCATTTTAACCTTTTATTTTGTGACGACTGTTCAGACAAACATCTTGCCTCAGTGGGCAGGAGCTGTTCGAATCTTCTTCCCCAAGATGAGCGAGATTTCTGGGATCCAGATCCTGACAATTTTCTTTCTCACAAACCTGTCAAGGTCAGATTTACCATGATAATGCAAAACCCAATAGATTAAAATAATCTTTAAAAACTTTTAAAGTACATTTTGGTGACACCCTGATGTTCCACACCCAAATAATTTTGAATTTGTAACAATTTAACTCCCAAGCCTAACTGACTCACTATGCTGCTAAATTCAGCTGGCTCAGGGACATTGATAAGAGCATGTATTTCAGATGAAATTTAAAAGGCAGCGCTAAATGAAATACGCAGCATATCTCTGCGACTACTTGGCATGTGAATTCTCAGCAGCCTGGTTCCCTCTTCCATGTGCATCTAAGCTGCTCCTCTGTGCAGCGCACATACTCACCTTCCTTGCCTGTATCGCTCCAGCACAGCACTCAGTGACGCAACGTACCCCACTACCAGCTCTGCAATTCCTAAAACACTGGAGCTCTGTGACTGCACAGACTTCTAATTCTCATTGTTTGTTTCCCATGTTGTACCCTTAAAACTCTTAATTTTTGAAGTTATCCTTTATTTAAGTTAATGTAATTGATGTTCTTCAGATTAATAAAAATTATATTCCTTACATCATCTTGACCTTTTAAAATGGCAGTGAATTGATATCTGTTCATTAAAGAATGAATGTACAATAACATTCATTACTTAATTCATGACATTAGTTAATAAAATTCATGACTTAGTTAATGACTAATGATGACACAATAACATTATCCATTATGACAGCACTGACTGCTGACGTTGTGTGTGTGCGCATGCCCATATGCAGGGATATGGGGTGGCTTAATACATAATGACTCTAAATACCATTCTTCCAAAATAATTTATTCCTTATAAAGAAAGCAGAACAAAGATCTTGCATAAAACCCCCATATTTATAGTAGATAACATCACAGCACGTTGCTGCATTCAACCCTCTATGGACAGATTGTTAACAGATTTTTTAGGTCTAGCAGGAAAGTCACATACATCCAGTCACAATGCGTGGAATTTTCCACAAAATACTCCTAATTTCGTGTCCTCTCTTTTTTGAAGGGCAAAGCTCTTTATAAATGCTCTTTATAAAACAGAATAAACGACAGGATTTTAGTATAGTTTCCCATGGATTTTCTCTTGAAACTCTCATCTGTCCTGATTAGAAGACATACAAAAAGGTCTTGAAAGCTGTTAATTGTGCATAGAAATGAAAAAACAATTGTCCTGTGTCTGTCCTAGATCATTAAAAAATAAAAACCTTCTCAAATGGAATGTTTCTGATATAGCTGTGTTGAGCATCACCCACATGTACCAGACTGAGGGCAGTTACAGCTGCACGATGTGGTCATTTATCTAGGTACCAGGAAAAAACTGTGAGACTATTGCATTTCCAAAAAGAGAGGGAGGGAAAAAACAGAAAAACCCAGAACAAAACAAATACATGCACAGGCAAGAAATCCAAGGGAAGTTTCTGAACAACCATCCAGTAATTAAAAAACATTAAAAAGCTGGAAGACTATGACTATCCCAAATGACATCAATATGGAAAATGCTATTCCAGATCTAAAATACTGTTTCCCTTTCTATAAAAATGTTTGCAACTGTATAGAAAATTTCAAGCCAGGTACACTTGACATCTGCAAATGGCTACAACTATTTGAGTAACTAACAGCCCCTATGTATCAGTATTAATGATTCAATATTTATTCATAAGATCAGATAAGATCAGTATGTTCAGTTCGAGCTAATAATTCCACTGCGACAAAAATCAGAAAATGATGGTCTTTTGTTTGGTTAATAAACAAGATGACAAACAAGAAACAACCAATTCATATACCATAGTTTGTTTGCTTTGAAGAATTATAGTCTGGGACCAGGTGCTACTTCTTGTTTAGGCATTGTTTCTGGAAAAATATAGGGGAATTTAATCTTTTGAAAGAGGTATTGTCTGTCAACCTACGACTGTACAACGTACAGTATATTTTCTGTGATGCGTGTCATAGGGCAGTGCTGATAAACCAGTGTTAAGAACATTTACAGAAGAGATTAGATCATCAGATACACTGAGAAAAGATTGCACCCTAAAGGATCCAGCTTGAAAGAAAAAAAAAACAAACAAAACATCCAGACTGCCCACCACATCTCTTATTCATCAGCTGCTGGTATCCAGGCAAACCTCCCTTCAGGACTACAGTTCAAAGACTGTTAATAATTAAAGTATGTGCAGCGAAATACACACAGATTTGCCTTTTAAATCGCCCTTCTGACAGTGGTGTGTCAGGACAAGATTCTCAATTCATCTGAACTACAAAATGCCAAAACCTCTACACAGTAGAACAATGCACAGTCCCATTACTGTGCATTTTTACAACTTGCTTCTTCCAGGAGCCACTCAATTCCATTCAGCAATCCATCTAAAGTTGCAGCTACAGTATCCTGCACCTGTAAAATTAAAAACAGCCAATGCATAAGAGGTAACAGGATCTAACAGCATTTTAGCATCATTCCATGTCTATCCTTAAAAGTCTGAAAAAGCATATAAAATACAAATTTGTATCACAGGTTTAAAGGTCCCTTAGACAAAAATGGTTTCTTAAGAGAAAACAATATTCTTTGCAAAATGAATTACAAGTCCCATTAGGAAAGCCTTGCACTCTTGGTATCAGGGTCAATTTTATCTCAGCTGTTCCATCAGCTATTCTGGAACATTATACTTATTTTATGGATGAGAATCTACTTGAAAATTATTCTCATAACACTTAAAGCAGAAATGCTGCTAGCTTTAGAATTCTAAGTGTACTATTAATTCTCAGATTATGTAATGTACTATAAAGTGGCTATTTTAAATGGTATGGAATTACCTCAAACCAGGATTTAGGTTTTTTCTGATTAAGTACCATTCTTCAGCTATACAATGTCACCAAAAATCTATTACGTGTAGCCGAGCCATACTGATACATGCTGTGCTTGTCAAGCATAGAAGAAAATGATCAGGATCTCACATGCTAGGTAGAAAAATGGTTTGTCAAAAATTCAATACATATGTCAAATGAATGACAATTAACAGTCTCCTGAAAATGGCAGAAAAATCCACCTTGCATCTTGGACCTTGGCCTTGGGTTGCAACTTGGGAAATTTGGATTTAAATTAATTGAAGCTTCCTTACTCCCTTAAAGACCAGCATTTTGTCCTTGCTTACATTCTGGATCTATCTGTAATTTCTCAGGTGTTTCTTGGCAAGCCACTTTGCTCCTCTAGGTTCACATAGCCTACTGCTTCATCTTGGAGAGCCAGAGAAACTAAATCCTTCCCTGAAGTGGATAGTTCACGTACTAGTGTTGAAAGCTGCACACTTGCTTAGGTGGATACAGTTCTGGAGGTAACATAACCTAAGCCACAGAGAAATAGAAAATAAAGGTTTAAAAGTAATTACCATCCAGGGCTGACATAGCAGATTTAGTTGCAACTGATGTGCCATGTAAACACACGGAATCCTTTTCACACCAGCGTGAGAGACACAGGACAAAACTAGCAGAGGTCTGTTTGGAGGGCCCAGGGCTGGATCAATCATTGCCAAAATACGACCCAGTTCTTCTTGACGTTCATGCTCTAAATGACAATTTTAAATATACGAGTATTAAGTATATGCAAATCCCACGTTGAACTTTTCTTTTTGGTGACTTTTCAAATATTTAAGATTGCAGAGGTGAGGAAACAGAGGGCTGTAAGGAACATGCCCAGAATATCTAGTTCTGCTTATCACAAGGCTGGATCAGTCGCAGATATGCTCATGTCACACTTAGATGTTATTTAAAGATCCACATAGATTCCACAAGCAGCCTACTCCAGCCCTTAACATCACAGCATTTTCCACATACCTCATGGAGATCAAAACTGCAACAAGCCATTATACTAACACACTGTACAGTCAGCAGCCCTTCCTACTGACTGTACTTTTTCTCCTTAGTATATCCCCTTACATTTTTTAACCCTTTTTTTCCTCCCGAGATAACCCTTTCCCTTCATTTAAAGGTAATGAATATAAACACAATTACCATAATAGGTATTTGGATTATCTGTCCTCTTACAGGAACTATCCTGATTTGGACTAATTGCATGTTTTACTGCAGTTTTCCTTTTTGGGGTGGGGGGTTTGATTGCTGTGGCTTTTTGTTGTTTTGGCTTTTTTTTTTTGGTTTTGTTGTTGTTGTTGTTTTGGTTTGTTTTTTTTAATCTAGCTGATTTCCCATATGTAATGTAGAGCACAACCCTATCAGTATCCACTGTAAATCAAAGCAGGGGGCATAACCCCTCACTGGGAGATGAGGGAGAGTGACTGGGATAGGGGATCTCTTTGACTGGACAAACCATGAAGAAATAGCACTAATGAAGCAGATTTTGAAAGAATCAGAATGTGGATTTTTATGTATTGCATATTCTTTGCAGTATTTTATGACATTCTAATAATTCACAAATACGATTAAATTACAAAATAAAAAGAAACCCCTTACTTTTATGAGCTTCTGCATTAGCAACATAAATGAATCCATCAACTACTTCGCACACCTTTTTCACTTCAGCTATTACACTGTAGTGCACGGCTTGCTGATTGCCTACTACGCTGTTGTCTTGGTAGAACATCTTATTCACAGCAACAGCTTGCTGTGTCCTGGCTCTCTTCCTTTCCACACTGAAAGACATTTCCATATTCCAGTAGTCAGGTTAACTGAGAATGCAAAACCTCAGTTTTGAGAGTCTAGGCAGCACAGGAAAAAGACAGGAAAATGGCCTGAGACAGCAAAACAGTTTAACTTCTCCCAGCCTCCTCCTGCCCCCTCCCCCGTCCACTTCTTTTCTAGTGTATGTATACAGATGGTTAGCAACCTGCATGTGAAAATACATGCCAGGGTAAGTTTATATAGTGCTTCAGAAGGGAATCAAGTGAGTTATCAAGAGGGACAGAAGCACCTGTTATGTATGTGTCATACACATTTGCGATGTATAGGGTTTGGAAATGGTTTATTACTTCCATGTGAAAATTTAGCAGTTGCAGAAAGAAAAAGTGAAAATATGCATTGATGCTTCAGTTTATAAGGAATATCCATGCATGGGAATGCACACATAAAAATCACATGGCAAAAACATGAGGAAAATTATGAAATAGCCAAGAAAATGTACCTGTTTTTTGGTGGAGAACAAATCTTACCTGGTGGTTGAATATAACGTTAGAATATTGAATTTTTGATTGTTATTACACTGAAAACTGACTCCTGATCCAATTCCTACAAGGGAAAGATGAATATGTAACTATTTGATCACTAAAATAGGTAGGCTGCAAATTCCAGTGATGCAATAAAATAGATATAACCAAGCCTAGGTGTTAGCTGAGTACATTTACTATTTTACAATGAAATTTTATACATACTTTAGCTGATCAGACTATTAATTAATTAATTAACTCAATAGTATTAAAAGAAAACAAGGAGGCATTTCCATGTTTCTAATACTTGAACTTGGAAAACTAAATCAGAAAGGAGACAGACTTGTGTTTGCCAGGGGAAACTGGCAAAGCAAAGGCTCTAGTCTGCTTACAGCAAGCTGCACTGTAAAGCATGAAAAAGAGAATAAAGACAACACTAAGTAATAAGATTTTCTCATTTTCCACACATATGATTTAATTGCTCTAATTCTGCCCTGCTGAAATAAATGCCAATTAAAAAGTAATAATTTTTTGTCTCTGCTTTGGACTGAAGTGAAATTACAGATATTCAAAACTATGTTTTTAAATATTGAAAAAAAAAAATCCTTAACCTGCTCCTGTAAGTATTCTAAATGAAACTAACACCATTTGACACCACAAGACTGAATCACAACAAGGATCAGTCTTTTCTTGCCGTATGTTTTTTAGTCACTTACTGCAAGCAGTATGTAGAGATACAAAGTTCTGTCTGCACTTATCCATTACAACAGCAGGTGTGACACTGACTTTAGGATCAAAATAGAAGTATAAAGATAAAAATGATCCCTTTGATATTGTGGAAATCTAATCATAAATTCACGCAGATATAATTTTTTCCCAACTATTTGTTGCATTTATCCTTCTGAGTGAATACAAAGACAGAAAATATTGTATTGGTTTTAGCATTATGCTACTGAGTTTCAAGGGGCGAAAAAAGCATCTCTTCTCTCTGTTTCACCCCAAGTGTTGTTTTCCATCTGTTTATGAAATAAAAAAAGCCAAAAAGCAAAACCAGCATTACCATGAATTTGTCTTTGAGGTAGGCCAGCTACTAGCAGAATTTCTGGACACGTCATCATGTTTTGCACTAAAGAGTCATCCAGCTCTTCCAAACCCGGCCCAAACATAGCGAAGCGAGGTTCTGCCCGAATTCCCAGTGACAGCAAAACAGAAGTCACAGCCCCATACCGGGGACGGCTTGATTTCAAACTTCTTCTACTCCAAGGACAGCTTTTTTTATATCTGTGTAAAATAGATGCAACTAGAAATTAAATACAAAATACAAGAGGTATTAAACAAACAACACAAATTGATTTAGGTCCCACACTTCTCATGCTTTGTTACCGGTACAGGTCAAATAATGATTAAGTTCCAGACTGATGGTTTTAAGCACCAGTATTGAGCAGGTAAAGGCACAAGTTGTTTTGAAGCCCAAATACTGACTTTTTGGACCTTAGTACACTTCTATCCATGGAACTTTTAGCTTGCTTTAAAAAATAAAATAACGAACTCTTCTACCCTTGCTGAACACTCAGTATTGATAAAATAACATCAAAGCTGATGAGCCACATACAATATAAAAAACCACAAGACTTCTGAGCGTGTTTCAAACCTTCGTAAGAATGCCCTTGTGTTCATTAACAGGTGACTCCATCTGAAAAGAACCTTTTCCAATGTAGGCACAGAGAGTGCACATTGTGAAAGGAGCCAGGTGTCATCTGCCAGCTTACATGCTTGTTTGATGCAGAAGCCAGAAGGCATGAAAAGACTGGTAATCAAGAGAAAGCAGCAACAGAGACAAAAGTGACACCTTCTGAGGGAGCAGCTTCAGTCTTTATTTCTGTAGTCATGGTAGGCTGCTGCCGGACAAATCACTTCAAGCAAACATTAAATGTGTGCTCCTCTACACAGAAACTGAGACCCTGCAGTTGAGATCAGCAAATCCATTAAGTGTTCACAGACACAATGGAAGTGATAGGTCATTTCAAACAGGTGACCGATCCTCTGAAGGATCCAGACCTAAAAAGAATCATAGGTTGGAAGGGACCTTAGAGATCATCTAATTCAACCTCCCTGCTATGGGCAGGGACACCTCTCAACTTGACCAGGTTACTCTGAAATCCAGTGTTCAAAATCAGTATACTTTGCACTTATAATTGTGGGTGTGTCTTTCCCATCACAAAGTTGGGATGAAGGGCATAGAGACTGCAGTGGTTAGTGTACTTAGCATGAAGCAACAGTTTTCATGAAATCACCAATGGAAAATTTAACTGCAAATGAAAAAAAACCAAAACCAACCTGCAAATTAATTAAGGGTATTGAATGAAGTTGGTTTTCTGTTGTTTTTTTTTTAAGAAGCACACTGCAGAATAACCTGCCTGCCTTAAGAGTTCTTCTCAGTTATCCACATTATGGGTGTTGCTATGCTTTGCAACTATACCATCTAACCTTTGTTTTACAGCCTTGGACCACCTGAGCTAAAGCAATACTACTTAGCATTCTGTGTGTATTCAAAACCACTTTTTTTTTCTCCCTCTATGCCTTCCAGGTAAGATTAAAAAAAAAACAACAAAGATTCATTCCATTTGCTGTAGTTCAAAGACTGAATACTTTTATTCAAATATGAAATCATTTGTAATTGCAATGAGAGAGCAAAGAACAGATTTTTATCAAGATCAAAAGTACGCAGAGCTGAGACACACACATGCTGTTTACAAGCAGCTTTTACTTTTTTTATAAAAATTAGCTTTCACATTTTCTTTTCCACTATGTTTTACATTCTTCTCGAATTCCAAACAGGATGAGCTGGGCAAACTCTCAAACAACAGGAAATTGTATTTCCAAAATAAACAACGGATCTGAGACACAGCAGAAGTCAAGCACAGCTTTACTGCTTTAACTCTGGAACATGCATGTGGGCTAAATATTACTGAATGTTACACTGAGACTGTAGGTTGTATAAGAGAATATGAAGATACTTACACTGCCATATAATCATGCAGCACATTATCGCTGTCCTCTGAAAAGGCTTTATTAAAAACCTCCACATCTGGGAGTGATTTCCAATCAATGGATGTCCAAAACGGGAGATCCCTCAGGAGAAAATACCTCCACAACAACGGGTCTTGCACGGCCGCCCTCCAGTAACAACTCGTGCTTCCCAAATGACACAGATCTTGGGGCGAGAGGAACGACATGATGTTCAGCTGCACGTCGATCTGAAAACCGTCGAGAGCAGCGCTTTAACCACCCAGGAATTCAGCAGCGAAGACGATTCCCCATACACACCCCGTTTCCCACCCACGGGGGCCCCACTCACCGGCAGAGTCTGCAAGGCGCTCACCTCCCCAGCATCCTCCGGGAGCGATGCCGCGTTCGCCGGTCCCCCGCATCCATCGCTCCCGGATGAGTCGGAGACGACCAAGCACGGCGCCTTCCAACCCTCCCCGCTCCTCCGTTCCACCGGCCGACATGGCACTGAGCTTGGCCGCCGCCCCTTGGACCCAGCGCGCCGGCGCTGGAGAGACACGCAGTCTTCCTTCCGTGCCAGCTGGTCACACGGTTGATTAAATCTTTTTTAATTTTTTTTTCTCTCCTAGGAATATTGGATTAGACTTCCGACTAGCCTTCCTGCTCTCTGAATGCAACGTTTTTAATGTGATAAAATGATACATTGTTGATAAGAAGGCTTGAAGCAGGGACCACTTCCCTAAAGAGAGCTCCCGGGACACGAGGCTTCGTCCAGCGACAGCCAAAGCCACGTATTTCAGTCGCGGGCTTTCAAGAAGTGACGCAGCATTTGTTTTGCAGCTGTCGTGTTCCACCCTTGGCCTTTTAAAGGTCCCTCGCACACAGTCACATACTTTGTTAACACATTCTTGCCCGTTTCTCTGAAATCCAGCGAAGCACTCCGTGATCTGCAGCTGATAGAGACGGAACCTACTGTCTCAAAGCTCTCCTGCTCCCCTTCTCCGCACTGTTGCAGTCCCCAGTAGCACATTTCTCCACTGTACATCATTGCCAGCAAATGAGTGTCACTAAATACGCCTGCAAAAGTAATTCAGATCAAGTACTTCACTGTTCGAAGCATGTACAGAGCTTATTAACTTTGTATTTATTTTTTTTTCAGTAATACTGGAAAACCAATTCCAAAAAGGCAGATAAGCCTATTAAAAAGGTACATAAAAAAATAAAAAATCAACCATGAGATTAAGGGGGTGTAACATCTCCCTTATGAGGAAAGCCTGAAGGAGCTGGGTCTCTCTAGCTTGGAGGAGGCTGAGGGGTGACCTCATTAATGTTTATAAATATATCAAGGGGGAGTGTCAGGAGGATGGTACCAGGCTCTTTTCAGTGACATCCAATGACAGGACAAGGGGCAATAGGTACAAGCTGGAGCACAGGAGGTTCCACAAAAATATTAGAAAACTTTTTCACTGTGTGGGTGACAGAGCACTGGCACAGGCTGCCCAGGGAGGTTGTGGAGTCTCCTTCTCTGGAGACATTAAAAACCCGCCTGGACGCCTTCCTGTGCAATCCACTGTAGGTGATCCTGCTCTGGCAGGGGGGCTGGACTAGATGATCTTTTGAGGTCCCTTCCAACCCCTGACATTCTGTGATTCTGTGAGATGACTGACACTGTCCTGAAGGGAACCTGGATCAAGTCCTGGCTCATTACCCTATCTGTTCTGCCCCTCCGTAAACAATCTTTTAAGATTGTTGTTTAAATATCATTCTTATGACTGTGTTCTTAGAGAATATCAGTATTTCTTTATATCCTGTTAAGCACAGGCATGATTATGCATATATATTCTCCTGTGTCTCCCATAATTTAAGCCTAAAGGAAGATGCTTCTTGAGCATCAAGTCAGGTTAACCAGCAGCAGCTTTACTGTTTGAATAGCAAGCTACATACATGATCACAGTCACTGAGAAAAAAATTAATAAAATCCTGCTAAGTAGATCCACAGATCAACCACTACACTTGTCTCTGCATTGTGAAGATGAGCTGGAAAAATACCACTTCAACCTGAAATTAGGCAAGGTGTACCTTCTCCCCATGCCAGAGCAGAGCTCATTTTGAAGGTGTGTAACTGGACATCATGTTCCCAGCACCAGCAGTTTTACCTCATAAATCCTCCTGTGCTGCATCAGCCTACCTGCACCACACTGATGCCACCTCAGCTCTTGATGTAAACGTACTACAATAATGCAGCTTACATAAAGCTACACAGCGACAGAGAATAAAAGTCTGCCAAATCCAACCACTTCTGCATGTACTTTCTACCTGTGTGAAGACAGTAATTCCATGATCCTAGCTGTGTTCTCCTAGATCTAAACTGGAAGAGGAACATGAACATCTAGCACCCTCTGCAGTCGTGTTTGTGCTTTCAACATTTGTCAGTTGGCCACTGAACGGCTGTAGAATACACATGCTGCGCATCAAACGCCCATTGCCTCAGTTCACTCTCCTCCAGTGCACTGAAAAACACAGAGAAAATGAGCACTGCCACCTCCTAAAATCCACGAGTCAAAAAGAAGGCGGGAGAGGTGTTGAGGGGAGGAGAGAGCACTGCTGCCTGCTTATCTGTCTCATCTTTTTCTTTTTTTCTGTTCTCAGAAGCAACATTTGTGAATTTGAATTAAGTCAAACAACAAAAATATAAAATAAAGCATTTCATAAAGTGGAACAGTTATTAAGAGGAGCAGGTTGTGAGGGTTTTGGATGTTTTTTTGAGGTTTTTATTTCATGGGGTTTTTTACCTTCACTGAGTAATTTAGCTGTGTCGTTATCTTGAAGCAATACATCTTCATTTAGCTGGACAGGGCACCTAAAGCTAAGCATCTTCATCAAGTAATGAACTCCATCATTAAGACACTGAGTACAGTGAAAAAACAAGGGAGAAAAAAACACCTTTCAGATAAGTTCTGATCCATTTAACGATAACCAGAAATACTTCTCACTATGAATTTCCCAAAACCCTACTTAAAAGAACCTGTATTTCAAAAGTGAAAGGTCAAACTTTAAAACTTTATTCACATGATCAGAGAATTTCTAAACCTTCTTTACCTTTTTAAACATGGCAATATTTTCTTGTAGCCATTCACTCCTTTCTTTTGCTGTATGACAATACATATAAAGCAGGGCTCCTTTTCTCCAATAAAGACATTCTAACAGCTCTGCACCAAGGATGTTGATGGGCTGAAATAAAATACAACAAACTGGGCTAACCCAGAAGTAAACCATCTGAGCTATTTATACACACATGCAAAGAGTTATCTTAACTCTCCAATTTTAGAGGCTGTACTTAACAGCAACAGTCACAGACTACAAGCCCAATACTTTGGATTTACATCACCAGAAAAGGCATGGAATCATGCAAAAAAGAATTCATGCAAAAAGAATTCTGAGTATGCAATAAGTTATCTGAAAAAATATTTTCAGGAATCACTATTTAAATACAAACAAGACTTGAACTTTTTTCAAAGTATCTTAAGTTATGCCCATCAAACATACAAATGTTACCGCCCTGTTTCATATTTTTTTATTTTGAAATAATGAAATAAATAATTTTCTAGTTGCACAACACCAGTACTCACTTCTTCATTTATGTTGCACTCCCTTACTAGGTCTTCTGGCTCTGAAAGAATACAAATAAGTTCTTTTACTTTTTGCAAGGAAGATTCTTCTGGAAAATCTTCATCCACAAGCTGGTTTTCCTCAAAATACGTTATGTCTAAGAGTGCCTATGAAAACAAGACAAATAACGCAAAAATGCTAGCAGCAAAATAACCAAATGGTGGCATGCAGTAACAAAGCTGTTACACTTTATAGAACATTACCATCCTAAGAAAACTTTTAGCTTTTAGTGTTTAGCTTACAAAACCTGCAATTTAAAAGAATTCTAAGATTGTTGACAGTGATATCAAACCCCTTTATACCCTTACAGTTTTCAGTAAAAAGCAGTCCTGCACTTCATGGATGTCCACTGCACACCCCAAGGAACAGAAATGCCCTTCTGCTAAACCCTCCCTCCATCGCCCAACCCTCTCCCGTACCCTACACAGTAGATTTCCTTGAAAGGGATTTCTTAATGTTTTTTAATATACTACCTGTGTATAGAGCTGCAAGAGCTTGGAAGGATGTTCTTTCCCTTCCTTGCAGAGGTCCTTCAATTCACCCAGAGTGGCAGAGCCTTTCGCTAAGAAGGAATCTGGAGGAAGAACACACGCTGCCTGAGCACACAAGGGCGCCCACAAGGGCCTCGCTCGCTCCCTGTTTCCACTTCCCACGGGCCACCTGCCCCTGCGGTAGCGGAGAGAGCCGCTGAGGAACGCAGTGCTGGGGCAGGCCCGCTGTCCCGCGCCTTTCACTACATTAAGGGCATTTATGGTTCCCTTCTGACATTTGAAACCCGGTCCCAAACACGCT